GGACTAGAACTCACAGTCTCCTGGTGATTGGCCTAAAGTCACCCAGCTGGTTTTCATGGCGAACTCAGGACTAGAACTCACAGTTGCCTGGTGATTGGGCTAAAGCAGGGGTAGTCAACTTTTTTATATCTACTGCCCACATTTGTATCTCTCTTTGTAGTAAAGTTTTCTTTAACCGCCCACCGGTTCCACAGTAATGGTGATTTATAAAGTAGGGGACAAAACCCCCACCACCCACCATGAAAGCTGGAACGCCCACTAGTGGGCGGTAGGGATCAAGTTGACTACCACTGGCCTAAAATCACCCAGCCAGAAGACTGTGAGTTCTTTTATGGCTAAGGCAAGACTAGAACTCGCAGTCACCTGGTGATTGGCTAAAATCACCCAGCCAGCTTTCATGACTAAGGCGGGACTAGAACTCACAGTCTCCTGGTGATTGGCCCAAAGTCACCCAGCTGGTTTTCATGGCTAAGGCAGGACTAGAACACACTATCTCCTGTTTTCTAACCTGGAGCCTTAACCACTAGGCCAAACTGGCTTAAACTTTCTCAAATAAATCCGTATTATGATTTTTTTCTCTAGAAGAGGAATAGGTGGAGTCGAGCCACAACGAGCCGAAATGCATGAAGAAGGGGAGGAAACAAAAAATTACGTTTTCTCTGTTTTGTTTTGTTTTTCTGACAGGTTCAACTTCCAGATAGTCAACGAAATGACCACGAACCTCTAGCCACCGAAGAGGCGACGCAATAGCCCCTCCTTCAGAAACTCTAGTCTTGACATGAAAAGACATTTTTTTAATAGCAAAAGATTGTGCAATACATTAAAGACACAGAGCGGAGGGGGGGGGGGAAACAAACTAGCCTTTTTTTTCCCCGGCAACGAAAGAAGGGAAAGCAATTAAACTCCTCGCTGTGACTCGTTTTGTCCTTTTCAAGGATTTTTAAAAAGTCGCTGAGATGATCCTTTCATTTTTAAAGTCCTCCTTCCCGGAACGAGAAACAGGATTGTCACGGAGAGGAGAATTGATCATTCAGAAACTGGATTTAAATCGTGAAAATTTATCAACTCTACGTTCTGGGAGCATCGCAGAGTCTCGTAGATTGATAATCTTCAACGGGAATGAAATTGGAAAGCGATGTATTTTCCGTAGGCAAGTGAAGCGAGAAAATTTTGCAGCCGAAACTCACAAGCCCGTATAATTCTGTTTTTAAAATGGGGTGCGAGATGTGATTGGTTGGTATTTTTTTAATCCCTCCCCCCATCTTTTAAAATGTCACTCCTATCCTAAGAATGTGGGAATCCCAAGAAATGGAGAATTAATGCACAAGAAAGGAAATTAAAAATCTTATACTGGGAGCAGAGCATGTATACCGATTTACGAATTGGCTGTTTGAACAAATGTGGAAAACCTTTTAGCGTATCGTTTATTGTCAGACTCTGCAAAACAAAACAAAACAAAACAAATGGACCGATCGAAGAATCATGGGCTCTTTGCATTGTAACATGGTTAAGAGAAATTGACAGCCTGTTGAGAGTGATTGACAGCCTTAGGGGTACTGTTGAGAGTGATTGACAGCCTTAGGGGTACTGTTGAGAGTGATTGACAGCCTTAGAGGTACTTGACAATCTGAAGAGTCCATCATGGTTATTTTTAATTTTCTTGAGTTTTAAAGTACCATCCAATTGGATTACAATTCTGATCGCCATATTTTTGGAGGCTGGGTCATACAGATAGTCCTCGACTAAATGAACTACAGTTCATTTAATGATCGTTTGAAGTTACAACAGCACTGCAAAGGGGGACATGACTGTTTTTCACACTTAATGACTGTTGCAGCCTTCCCGTGGTCAGGCGATCAAGATTGAGATGCTGGGCAACTGATTCATATTTATGACGGTCACAGTGTCCCCAGAGTTACGCGATCTCCTTTTGCGACCTTCTGACAAGCAAAGTCAAGGGGGAACCCTAGATTCACTTAACGACCGTGCTACTAATTTATTGCCGTGATTCACTTAATAACTGGCAAGAAAGGTCATAAAATGAGGTGAAATTCACTTGTCTCGCTTAGCAATGGAAATTTTGGGCTTAATTGTGGTCATCAGTCGAGGACTTCCTGTATCGGCGTTGCCTTGCATTAAATCTTTCTTGAATTTATGGCAGAGGAAAGGAATACTGAAATTAGTGGGCAATTAATATTGCAAATTTAAATTTTTTAAAAAGGGACGCGGTGGCTCAGGGGCCAGGATGCTGAGCTTGTCTATCAGAAAGGTTGGCAGTTTGGCAGTTCAAATCCCTAGCGCTGTGTAAGGGAGTGAGCTCCCATTACTTGTCCTAGCTTCTGCCAACCTAGCAGTTTGAAAGCATGTAAAAAAATGCAAGTAGAAAAATAGGGACCCCTTTGGTGGGAAGGGAACAGCATTCCATGCGCCTTCGAAAGCGTTTAGTCATGACAACATGACCATGGAGACGTCTTCGGACAGCGCTGGCTCTTCTTTGGCTTTCTAACAGAGGTGAGCACTGCCCCCTAGAGCCTAGGAAACAACTAGCACGTATGTGCGAGGGGAACCTTTTTACCTTTTAATATTGCAAATTAACTATGAATTTGACTGAATTGAATCCAGTAGCTTTTAATTCCACGCTCTTTATACCATCAGTAAATATGGGAACCATAATCTAAATTGTGAGCCTTATCTATCCAACTGATATGCAAAGCAGTCGCTATGATGTTCTGGTTGTCAGTGAATTTTATTCAACGTCCATCTTCATCTGTAAAAAATAAGAACTTAGATGTCCGTTATTTATTTGGAAAGTTTAATAGAGGAAAAAGGTAGGATGCACACCTGACTCCATCTCAGCTTCCAAAAATATTCCCTCCGTTGAAGAATGAAAAATGTAGGAATGACACTTCAAATGTACCAGCTTGGTGATTTATGAATGGTTAAAAAAACCCCAAAACATGGCTGTTAGCTGGAAAGACCAAAATGCAATGGGGGAGGAAAATCTGATTTTAATGACAAGGACGGAGCAGGGTGAGCATCTATGATGGCTTTACCATCTGTGGATTTCAAGTCACAGAAGTCCTAGCGGGCTGAAAAATTCTGGGAGTTGGTCCACCAATCGTAAAGATGCTATAGTTGCCCAACCTGGAATAGACAATCTGATGCCAGTGGAAAATGTCATATTCCAGCAACGCTTGTGGGCAGATGGAACGTAAGTCATTCAGATAGAACCACATTTTGGGGGCCATTAAATTAGTAAGTTTAAAATGTTTTGCAGAAAGTACTGTTTCCCCGAAAATAGGACCTACCCCGAAAGTAAGTCCTAGCTTGATTTTTTTGCATGTGAGCCCAATATAAGCGCTGCCCCCAAAATAAGCCCTAATTAAGATCCCACCCACTCCAGAGTGGATGGGTAAAATTAAGCTAGGGTAGGGATGGGTGTGTGTGTGTGGAACTACCCTACTACTTACCTTTGAACAGTTGTAGCCAGGCCTTGCACACCCCAACACCTGCTTTGCTGGCCCATTTCTTCAACAAGGCTGGCAAGGCTTTCCTGAAGGCCTCTGTAGCTGAGAATAAAGCTCTGGATTGATCCAGAGCTCTGCTATCAGCTGCAGAGGCCTTCAGGAAAGCCTTGCCAGCCTCAGAAGAAGTTCCTGAAGGCCTCTAACAGTGAAAAAGAGGCCGGGGGTGACGCACGCAAGTGAGGTTGGCCAGTGGATGACATCCCCCCCAAGTAAGACCTGGTGCCTTTTTTTGGTGGCAAAAAAAAATTTATAATGGTCTTATTTTCGGATATTTTTGATGTACCTAACTCATCCAGGCTGATGGCCTTAATCTAAAGAACTAAAGAAAAGTGACTTTGATGGACCCATTTCCAGCCTTCCTGAACTTCCAGGAGGCCCATTTTTTGCCCTCCCCGAGCCTCCGCGCGCCCCCTGCACTTACCTGCAGTAAGGGCGTGTGGGGACTCCTTCAAGGGGAGGGGAGGGGTGGGCGGGGCCAGCCAGGAGTGGGATTTGGGGGTTCTCCAAACTGCACAGAATCTTAGCTCGGGGCTCTCCCGAACCCCCGAGCAGCCCAGCCCTGGTCATAAGTGTGAAAAACGAGCGTACCTCACTTTTTCCAGTGTCGTAACTTTGAGCGATCACCACACGAACTGTTGTTAAGTTGAGGACTCCCTGTACTTTGTCTGTTCGAGCAGATACCAGGTGAGAAGAAATGGCTCAAATATCCTTGTTTAAAAAGCCATATTGTCTCAACTAGAAACTATAATTTGTATTTTACATTTCACGAGGCTCTTTGGAAATGAAGTGTGTGTTTAACATTGTTGTTCCCTGTTGTCATTTGCCTTACTAGTCACTAGGTGCCCTCATTATTCCACAATCACATTTGGAGGGGGAGTGTTTGGAGTATGAGTTATTTCAAATAATATTTCCGTTGATGCAAAACCAGCAATATTCTACTGGATGTAGGCATATGAAATTATTTGGAATTCATTAAATGTCCTCATACAGAATCCTATCCCAACTGCAAATAAAATAGCATTTTTTTTTTTTTTTTTTTACACAGAGCACTGGGGTACAATTTGTAGCTATATTTAGTAACCCTTGAGAATTGACCCATAAAATCAGCAAAAACATATATCCTATTTATTGAAATGAGTAGGCTTTCCAGTTCTGATTGCTTGAGGAAGCACGTAATTCATTCTCATTAAGCTTTTTATTTTTAAAAAGCTCCCCATTTCCTGATCATGAATGAGTCCTAGAAAGAAAATAGAGATAGATTAAAGAGAGACAGAAAGAGCCTATTGATGGATGGGTGGATGAATGGATGGACGGACGGATGGAGATAGGGAGGGAGGGAGGTAGATAGATGAGAGAGAGAGAAATAGATACTGAAGGATGGGTGGAGAAATAGATACGGATGGATGGATGGATGGACGGACGGACAGACATAGCTGACAGAGATAGATATAGATAACATGACGGATGGATAGATAGATAGAGAAAGATCGGATGGATGGATGGATAGATAGATAGATAGATAGATAGATAGATAGATAGATAACATGACAGATGAATGGATGGATGGATAGAGAAATAGATACAGATGGATGGATGGATGGGCAGAAATAGATACAGATAGATAGATAGATAGATAGATAGATAGATAGATAGA